TCATATAGTATCATCATTATGCAAGATCATCATATACATATCATGTACAATTATAAGCATATACATATATAAGAACATCTTCCTAAGATTTCCCTCAAGTCTAACTAGTGCAATGTTTAAGTAGAGTCTCATACCCCTACCTAGACTAAGCTAAACCCCTTAGGTCATCCTAGTTAGAGTTCAATCCTTTAGTTCATTTTACCTTTTGGGAACATCTTGTCTTAACCAACATAGACCACATGTGCTAATGTGGAATCCGGTGTCATGGAACCCTACATCGAAGGAAGGCAGACTACTTGACAAGGTAGTTACAAAACATGAACATAACATATAGGTGGATCAACTAGCTAGTTTTCCTATGGAGGCAACATATTTCAAGAACTAAAAGATATAGTTGGGACCCTCTTTATGCTACATGCATTATAGTCTCCAATCTCATGAGTACATTAGTTATACTACCTTCCGTATGTGGGAAGGGAAAATCCTCACTCTAGTTCACTCGCTACTAAGCTAGAGTCCCTTTTGAAATGTCTTTAATGCCTTTATTATTCATCATAGCTTAATGTAGGTCATAGAGTTTATCCCTTATATAATCATCATCATCATAGATCAATAAAAATTGCATGAGTATTGTCCTTTTGTTATAATTCATACAAGTGAGGTTGGCGCATTTACATAGTCATATCATAATAAGGCACATTGGTAAGTTATCACCATCCTTATAACATTTATATCTTAGACAACAACTCACAATCCATAGTTCAAGACATTTCAGTTCAACATCATACCAAACCTATCAATATTAATATAAGGTATACTTCAATACAACATCATCACTTAAACACAAGTAATCACAATTGAAGTAAATAATAGAGATCACAAGACTTACTCAATCTCTTTCACAATGCCTTCATCAAGGTCTTACCATCAACCCTCCAATTTAACCCAACAATGTGTGTAACACCATAACACAATAGTAACTAACATGATAACAAGGCCAATTGAATCATTATACAACAGTTCATCACTAGTTCATAGCCTATAATTAGAGACTTAGCTCAAGTTCATAATCTACTTCACAACCTAGGTCAATTACTCAAGAACAAGCATAATTGGATAAAAATATACCACAATATACTCATAATTAGCATAAAAACAACATAGGATAGTAATTCAAACACTAACCATACAAATTATATCAATACTATACAATTCAATTTAAGATCACAACCTAGGGTTTAGGGGGAAAAGCCATCTTCCGCAAACTAGGACAATGCATCAAGAATTAGTGTAATGTAACCATAATACATGTTAATATACTCATAATAACCAATATAAATCATAAACAAATCAATTCACAAGATCAATTGCGTATTGGAAGTAACCCACTTGAATTTCATACTTTTGAAATCAATTTTGAGGAGCTCTTTGGGGAAAGAGATCCCAAAGATGAAAGGAATCATATACCTTAATAATTGATGAAGTTTGATAGAGAAACTTGATCCTTTACATCCCTATAATCCTTCTTTGCTAAGTCTTCAATGGGGTTTCTTTGGGAGAGAGAAACAATAGAGAAGGAGGAGCAATTAGGGTTTTGGGGTTTATGAGGGTTAGGTTAGTTTAATTAGGTTGGGGTCTTTATATAAGTCATTAAATAAATTGATTAGAACTCCATTAACCCATAAATAATTAAATAACCTCCTAATTAATTAATTTAGCAAGTCCTAAAACGTGCAATAAAAACAGTCTCTTTGATAGATGAGACCACGTCTACACCTCGTTTGTCAATCAACGGCCAAGGGACCAACCATCATGTTGGTACCTCATTTTGGTAATAGATTTGTCAAGAAGTATTCCTAAGTATTTGTATAAGTTTCCAGAGACAGTGTCCATCGACGCCCCGTCGATTGGACCACGCCTCGTCGATGGCCATCGTTGGTGACACTGTCCCTTGACAACTTTTGGCCACTTTTGGTAAGGTCCTCCTCAAGGGCCCTTGGTTGTTCCTTGGGGAGTTTTAACCAGAAGTTTATACTATAAACTAACTCTAATACATTATATGCACCCTTCCACCAATATTCATCATTTTCCAACTCTTAAAACTTAGTCAAATAGGCTAAGGCACACTAGCACCTCTTGAACTAGTTTTCGAACGTCATGGACGTTCCTTGACGTTTTGAATATAAAACTTCCTAAATGACTCAAAACATTATAATTGACTTAAAAAAAGTGTTACAACTCTTAGACTCTCATGTTTAGATATAAATTAGGCTTTAGGCTTTCAGAGTATTATAGGTTCTTTAGGCTTTAGGCTTTCACTCGCTCAAATCAAATCCCCTAAATTTTGGATCTTGCTTATCAATTTATAGGAATTGATGAATTTATTAATTGGTAGAATTGTTTTATCTATTCTAATTTGTTTATGGACTGCCTAGTGTAATGTATTGTTGGGATTGGATCTATTTCTTGAAGAATTATAATGAAACATTTTCCCCCTAACCCTTGGTTTTGAATTGAAGTTAATTGGGATAGTGATGATGCAATTGACCTAGTTATTGTATCAATTACTATTGAATGATGTTACTAAACTTATTATTGGATGAAATTGGTTGGTTGATGGTAAGACCATGATGTTGGATTTTGAAGGAGATTGAGTAAGTCTTTGTTATCCTAAACCTTTACTTCAATTATGATGGTTTGTACTTGGTGATGAAGTTCAATTGAAGTATATCTTGTGATTGGGTTAAGTAGGTGTGGTATGATGATGCAATTGAAATGTCTTGATTATGTGATTGTGAGATTATGCTTAAGATGTAATGATATAAGGTTGGTTATAAAGACCTATGTGCCTTACTATGATATGATGATATTAATATGTTAATCTCACATATGAGGGTTGTATTGAAAGGTGTTCTCATGCAATTCCTATTGAGATATTGACTATTATTATACAAGGATTTATTCTCATATGACCTAAACTAAGTTATGATTGTTAAAGAAAGACATTTCAAAAGGGACTCTAGCTTAGCACCAAGTGACTAGTGGTGAAGAGTATCCCTTCCCAAGTAGGGAACGTAGGTTCACTATTGTAGTCATGAGATTAGAGACTATAATGCCAAATGCATAAAGAGAGTCCAAAGTAACATCTCCTAGTTCTTGAACTATGTTGCCCCCATAAGAATACTAGCCAGTGGATCCACCTATATGCTATGTTCATATCTTGATACTACCTTGGCAAGTAGTCCGACTTCTTTTGGTGTAGGTTTTCATGACACCGGATTCCACATCAGCTCATGTAAAATGAAGTAATAAAGTGAACTCTAACTAAGATGACTCAAGAGGTTTGACTTAGTCTAGGTACGGGTATGGGACTCTACCTATACATTACACTAGTTAGCCTTGAGGAAAATCTTAAAAGGATGTTCTTATGCTCTTATAAAGTGAATGATATGCATATGTTGACTTTACATGTTGATGATACTATATGATGTTGGTTTCATGTATGAACATGTTATTGGTCTATATTGTTAAATATGATGATGACTACTCTTGATGTTATGTTATGTGACGTTAGGCATTGTTTATGGTCCTTTATTTGGTTTACTTGGTTGAGTAAGGTTATGGGGCTTTACTTGGTCATTGCACTTGTAGACTTGATGGTGGGGTTATGAGTAAGGGTCTTGTATATGTTGTAATGTTATGAACATCCTATATTGCTTTGTGGGTATAACATGATGTTGGAGTTGTTTTTGTTATAGTTCTAATATGCTATACACATGTTGACTTGACTATACTTGATGATGTTGGTCTTGTGTTGAAGATGTTATTGTCTTAATGTATATATCATTATTAGCTTATATGGACTCTTGAATGTGCATTAAAGACTTTCAAATGACTTAGAGTGTTTTCTAAAGTAAATGTCCCTTTATCATGTATGCTTTCAAATGTTTTATGTGCATATGCCTATGCTTAGTACAAGTGATGTACTAACCCATGTTTCTATGTTTACTACAAAATGTAGGTTTCAACCGTTGAGCTTTTAGAGGGCCATTAAAGAGGGTTGGATTCTCATTCTCCAAGTTCGCTAGGTCCTCACTTTTTGAGGACGATGTCACCATCTACCTATTGGATGTTGTTTTAGTCTTAAAGACAATTTTGTTCATTCTCTTTTATTTGAAGACTATTGTTGTATATGCGTATATGTGGCTTTTATTGTAATGAAGTATGGGTTATGCCCGATGTTGTTTTAATTCTGGATGGTTTAATATGAGACTTATCCTAGACTTTCTAGGAGATTATATTGCTATATTGCTATATTATATACAGACTTAGAATGGGTATTCCCCATCATTTTTCCTTTATGTCATGTTTTAAGCTTCCACACAGAATTATCTTATTTCAGTTATCTTAGCAGGCTTATGATATGCTAGTAGGATTAGCTTGGGGTAACTCGTGATTCTAGGTTCCGTGTTTACGCCTCGGGATAGCTTCGGGGCATGACATCACCACAAGGAGTGACAAACGAGTAGGTCCAAACGAATATGAGTCGACAAAAAATGAGTTTAATGAAAATGGATATAATTTTTGACTCATAATGGGTAAAAATGAGTTATCCAATGGATAAGGGTATCCATACTCTTCACTATCCCCCCCCCCCAAACCCCCCAACTCCAACTCCAACGCTTCTATAATTAATTCTTCCCCCTTAACCCCAACGCCTCAAAAATAATTTTTTTAAAGAAATTAAATTTGTTTTTTACTACTTTGATCTCCCCCCCCCCCCCACAAACCTACCCAACTAGCCCGTTCCCAACAAACAATTTGTGTTTCAAAAAAGTTTTAATTTTTTTCGTTATACCACCGTTCCTACCCCGACCACCTACACCTTAAAATAATATTAATATTACTTTTCTTTCTTTAATAAATAAGACTCTTTTAATCATTTAACTATCCACTTTTAAATGGATAATATAATTTTGACTGATTTTTTATCCATTTTAAATGGGGTGGGTATCGAATTTAGGGTCCCTAGTCACCATCATCATTTCAAAAGGAACAAGAGTGAAAAATGTTCTCCTTTGATTTGTTTTTAAATTTTTTGAACACATCATGAACACCCGGCTTCACTTTCTCCCCCAGTAAAGAGAAGTGTGGTGTCATCCCAAGTAAGCTTTTGGAATTCGTTTGAACGTTGTTGTTGTATACAAGAACTTCTGACTAGATGTTGTTGAACTCCAATATATGCGCTACCTCCCATACAAAGATTCTATGGTTTCGTTCATCTTGTAATCGTCTTTATGTTGCAAAATTTGGGGCTTCTCAATCGGGTATCCATTTTCCTGGAAATCCATTTACTTACATTGTATTATTTTCTACAACTGATAGCCCTAGATTTAATTCCAACCCTAAATTATACTTGCAAAATGGTAATTCTGATTATACTGGAGATGGGTGTGTTGTAAAAGAAGAATTGGGTGTCAAGAAATGTAAAGTTTTGAGCTTTTCTGATACTTGTTTTACTGATGATGGAAAAAATTGCAGCTATATACATAATGCTAGTACTTGTAGCTTTGACCATGTCCATGAGTTTGAAGAGTCAGATAATGAAGATTTAGACTGTACTGATGATGATTTTAAGGTTTTGGATTCATTTGGGAAAACTCAAAAACAAGTCAACGGGGCAGAAAACGGTGGCATTTCTGGAAGAATTGAAGAGGAAATGGGACATCATTTGGTTAAGGAAACATGTAGATTGATTGAACATCGCTCAGCTTGGAATCCACAGCTTGAAATAGAATTGAGGCGTTTACTAAGAAGTATGAAGCCTCACCAAGTTTGTGCTGCATTAACGTCTCAATCTGATGAAAGGATTGCTTTGAAATTCTTTTATTGGGCAGACCAGCAGTGGCGCTACCGACATGACCCTATCGTTTACTATGTCATGCTTCAACTTCTCAGCAGGACAAAGTTGTGCCAGGGAGCTAAGCGCATTCTTAAACTGATGGCACGAAGAAGAATTCCACGGAGACCTGAAGATTTTGGTTGTGTAATGGTTGCTTTTAGTCGAGCTGGACATTTAAGGAAAGCAATGCAGATCCTGAATGTGATGCAAAGAGCAGGAATTGAGCCTGATTTGTCTATATGCAACACTGCAATTTATGTTTTGGTGAAGGGTGATAACATTGAGAAAGCATTGAGCTTTCTGGAGCGGATGCAACTAGTTGGGATAACACCAAATGTTGTTACATACAATTGCTTAATCAAAGGTTATTGTGATGTGCATCGCGTTGAAGATGCATTGGAGTTGATTGCTGAAATGCCTTATAAGGGCTGTTACCCAGATAAAGTTAGTTATTATACTTTGATTGCATTCTTTTGCACGAAGAAACAAACTGAAGAAGTGAGGGAGTTGGTGGAGAAAATGGCTAAAGATAGTAACTTATTGCCTGATCAGGTTACTTATAACACTATTATACATATGCTTTCAAAGCATGGCCATGCTGATGAAGCCTTAGGATTCTTAAGGGAAGCTGAAGAAAGAGGATTCCGAGTGGATAAAGTGGGGTATAGTGCTGTAGTGAACTCCTTCTGTAAAGAAGGAAGTTTAGATAAGGCAAAGGAACTGGTCAATGAAATGATTGCCAAAGGATGTCCTCCTGATGTGGTTACTTACACTGCAGTTCTGAATGGGTTTTGCCTTGCAGGAAGAATTGATCAAGCAAAAAAGTTACTTCAACATATGTACAAATATGGTTGCAAGCCAAATACTGTAACATACACTGCCCTGTTAAACGGGCTTTGCCAGAGTGGAAGGTCTGCCGAGGCACAGGAGATTATGAACACGTGTGAAGAATGGTGGTGGAGACCAAATGCTATTACATTTGGTGTGGTAATGCATGGTTATCGTAGGGAAGGAAAACTGTCTGAAGCCTGTGAGGTGGGTAGGGAAATGATTGGAAAAGGCTTTTTGCTTTCTCCCGTTGAAATTAACCTGATCATTAAATCTCTTTGCCAAGAGGGCAGAGCAGATGAAGCAAAGAGTTTTATGGTAGAATGTCTGAAGAAAGGATGTGCTGTTAATGTGGTGAATTTCACCACTGTAATTCATGGTTTCTGTCTAAAGAAGGAGTTGGATGCTGCTCTCTCTGTCCTTGATGACATGTATTTAATCAATAAACACCCTGATGTTGTCACATATACAACGTTAATAGATGGATTAGGAAAACAAGGAAGGATAGAAGAGGCTATTGGGCTGTCCAATAAAATGCTTCATAGAGGGGTGCTTCCCACTGCTGTGACATATCGTACAGTCATCCATCGATTTTGTCAGCAACATAGGGTGGATGATCTGTTGGTATTACTGGAAAAGATGCTTTCAAGAGAGGGGTGCAAGACTGCCTATAATCAGGTTATTGAAAAACTTTGTGGTTTAGGATATACTGATGAGGCTTATAAGCTATTGGGAAAGGTCCTCAGGACAGCTTCAAGAGTTGATTCAAATACCTGCCACATTCTTATAGAGAGCTATTTAAAGGAAGGGAATCCTCTTTCATCATATAAGGTGGTGTGTCGAATGTTCAACCGGAACCTTATTCCTGACTTAAAGGTCTGTGACAAGGTGAGGGATAGATTGATGCAAGATGGCAGAGTAGAAGAGGCTGACAAGCTCATGTTGCGCTTTGTCGAGCGTGGCCATAAGTTGCCTCAGCTTCAGAGGACTTGAATTTTGAATACTAAAGAGGAGATCATTGTGTGTTCTTAGGACATATTACTGTTCTGACAAGGCTACAATAGGAAAGTATAGACATCAAAAGCCAAATGATTCAGTAGCTCATTATATTTCAGAAAGAAGTCACTCTCTGAAGCATAACAAGATTTTTGAAATGCTGGTGGTTTCTGGGATCAGAGTGCTGATATGGACCAAGTCTTGGACACGTCCCCATTAATGTCTCTCTGGTTTGCAAACTTAATTCTTATTCAATTTGAAGGATAAAGATAACAGCTCTAAACAACTCTGCTTGTCACCTTCGGTTGAAAAAAATGATGAATTTTTAATAGTTTCATCTCATCAAGGTAAGTTTCTTTCAAGTCTCTAAATCTATAATAACCACTAATTATTGAATCAATATTTCTGGATTTGATTAATCACTTATTATCAGAACTAGTATTGTTTGTCAGTATTTGGTGTTCATCATAGATTTAATTGTTTGCCAAATATATACAAGCATAATCTTTTTGTTGTTCGTTTAATGTTGAATTTCAACTTGAATTTGTGTAAGAGTTTCCTTTTTATATTGGGTTGAACAATGTCTAGTTTATTTAGGAGACACTAGAGGGGCGGTGCTAGGGTTCCGAAAGGGTTTTATCTGAATTCCTTTTGTCTAAAAATTACATTATATATGGTCAAACTTATATCTTATTTATATAGTAGAGGTCGAACCCTCGACTTCTTAATATGATTTCTTCTATAAATTATAAAGAGATTAACTTGTGTGCACTGACTGTGTAAAGTATTTTTGCACAATCAGGTAAGTTTAACAGTAATAGCTGAACTCAGGTAAACCTCTAATCTATTTCTTTTTAATATTTGAGATCTCAAATATTTATTCCTGTAATTCTCTCTCTCTCTCTCTCTCTCTCTCTCTCTCTCTCTCCATAATCATCGGAATATTTTTTTCTCTGTCTCAGACTCCTAATTGTCGGACTTGGGGTTCTTTTATCCGAACTTCTATCTCCCCTTAGCTGCTAAGCTCCTCGTGGGTTCATGATCTCTTTTATTCATGTGAAATTATCCATAAAAGGTTATTACCTTTGATCTTTTGGGGAATTATTTTAAATTTGTAGCAGATGTTTCAACCGGATGTCGTTATCTCTGATCTCCAATCTCATGTGAAGTTGGTTCTTCTGGATTCTTGGCTTATTCATCTGAACACCAAAACCCTCTTCTTCCTAGGTTGTTTGCTGGTGTGGATGACATTCCTTGCATGTTTCAAGGCCACATCGAGAATTTAGTACATCTTAAGCAACAGTATGGGTTAAACAAGACTGCAAATGAAGTGATCATTCTTATTGAGGCTTACAGGACTTTGAGGGATAGAGGTCCTTATCCTCCAGATCAGGCTGTGGAAGATATTCATGGAAAGTTTGTGTTCGTTCTTTATGATAGTGCTTCGAGGAGTACCTTTTTAGCTGAAGTTTCCTTTGTACACGAGTTTTCTACAAATCAAAATAGAAAATGGAAGGCTTGTTATTCAACAGTATAACATGACTTATATACTCGTGTCAACCAAGGTTTATGTGGATCTATTCAAATTTTTAACGAAGTTGATTGGAAAAATCCGGACTTCTCTACAGAGAATTATAATTTCGATATGATAGTGGGTTGCCCGGGATTCGAACCCGGAACTAGTCGAATGGAGTAGATAAGTTCCTTGTTAAATAAAATAAATGTTAATCTGAAATTAAATAAACAAGTAAAGATCCCTCCCCAAGCCGTGCTTGCACTTTCCGTTGCACACGGCTTTCCCTATGTATACATCAGTTCCTTTCTTATAGAAATTATATCACATTATCTTGATCTTGACTTATCTTTGATATTCTCGGTCTTGGATTAAATGTATGAGTTTTGGTGTTATAGGATGTTGATGGCAGTGTGCCCTTCTTCTGGGGTACCGATTCTGAAGGCCACCTAGTTCTCTCGGATGATGCTGACATTGTGAAGCATGGCTGTGGGAAATCCTTTGCACCATTTCCCAAAGGTAATGTCAATGAACTTTGCTTTGAAGGGAAAGGTCCTGCAACCTAATAAGTGTACGTGGGGTTTATTTTTATTTTATTTTTCGATAAGTAATTAGAAAGAGAATTTTATTGGTAAGGAAAAACAAGGGACAGATCATCTATGGGGGGTGATTAAAATTGAAAAACATGCTCTCTGCAGACCAAGCCTCATATTGAAACGGATAATTTGATGCTTGTCAGATTCTATTGTGCAAATAGTTATGTTTGTATAATGTTTTATTTCCTCTTCTCTGGCGACATAGAGGGTAAATTAGGGAGAGCTAGGTGGGTTCATCTGGCAAGACAGAGATAAACATTGACGAATCAATCAAATGGGATATGGGATTATTCATAAACACATGACATATGACCTCTGTTTTGGTTCTGTGTGTCATATGCTTCTAATACACATCTCGACATTAGTTTTTCCCTATGTTTTATGTGAATTGTTTCGTTTTGTTTTGAAGATCCTTGATGTCCATTGATTTACTTTTAGATCTTTTACAGAATTCCTAATGTCATATTGTCTTGGTTGCGGTGGTTTTTGACATCTTTTGGTGGTTTGAGGACAAAACATGAATGCAGACACCTACAGATGTGCTATGGAGTCGTATCTTTTGGATGTGTTGTGTAATTATGGCTCGAGCTCTCCAAAAATATTGAGAGCTTCTTTGGGTGCACAGCAGAACTCTTTCATCTGTTCATGATGCCATATTGGAGGACTTGGTTGTTCCAGCAGTGATTGTTGGGAAGCGTACTAAGTATCACATTGGCCCCAAGGAACCAAGTATAAGTTGGAGACCTTTTCAACAGTTAACAGAAAGCTTTCAGGCAAAGGTGTAGTGTTCGAGTACCCCATCATTTATGACCTCATCTATATGACGTGAGCGGTTTCTCCTTTGTAATTTTGGCACTACCATTTTGTTTTACTATGATGTGAAATTCCTATCATTTTTAAGTTAAAACCATTTCTCTATGTCATACATTTTGAGTTTGTTTATTGAAACTTGGTCAAAACAAAAAACAAGAATATCTGTGAATTTTTTAGCACTTTTTTATTTTTAGAAAAACAGAATTTTTCACCTCACCACATTTCACTTCATCAAATTCCAAATGTCATAACAACATCATACTCGGTATAATCTCACATGTACGTCATTTCTGACTTGATGACTTGTAAGCTTTGTGCACCTTTACATTACTATCAGGCAACCTAATGCACACTCCCTTTTGCCCCTTTTATTTGTTATTGATAGATTTTTGCAATATACAAACTTGATAACTTGAACAAATCACAAAATAGATCAAATCTTGCAAGTTAATTTTGCTTCTTTAGTCTTTTTCATATCCAAGATTGTCATTTTCAAACACCCTCTTGGTCTTTTTCTTTGTTCTTGATAGATTTTGCTAGATACAAGTGTGAAAACTTGACCAAAAACACAAAAAGATCAAATTTTGAAAGTTAAACTTTTTACCTGTAAGTTATTGGAGGGGTATTGCCATTTTCCAATACCCTTTCACATTTTTCTTTGTTCTAAATAAATATTACAATATGCAAATATGACAACATTTTCAAAAACACAAATAGATCAAATCTTGCAAGTTCATTTTGGCTATAGAGGTTAAGGTTAATGAAGGTGTTCTCTTGATTTATCATGGGTGGATTTGCGAGAAGTTTTTCATGTGTAAACAACTGTAGTAAACAATTCAAATCTTCATATTAATAAATATTTTATACCAAGATACATGTGATGTATTGTAAATAAATGTCTAACATATTAACTATATTTTTGTGGATATCTGTATATATTTAAGACCTATAATTATAAATATGATTTTATACCATTAATTTTATCCGAGACATTCCTGCAAATCCATGTTAGTAAATAAATACAAAAACCAACAACATAAAGCATAAACTTGAATTAAAACTGTAATAGTAATTGCTATTAAAATTGAAAACAAAATCTTGAAAGGAAAAATTTATACATTACAACATAGAATTATTTTCTACCAAAAGAAAATATAAAAAAATTTCTAGATGTTTGCCTCTCCATGAGTCTTGAAGCTCTAAACACAAGTTTAACATTCATAAACCATAGATTCTACCTGTATGAATATGAAGCTATTCTCATGAGGAAGTATTAAAAGTCATTTTAACCTGTACAAATATATAAATACGTTATAAATATATAAGAACACGATAAGAGCAGACCTACCATGAATGACGTATGATATCCATGGATAATTTGTCCTTGAAATGATTCTGGATATGACTGGAATTGTTTTTTGGGGAAAAAAAAGGTACAATTTATTAGACAAATATATGGAGGTAGATGAAAATAAATTTTAATAAATACATAACATAAAGTATCAAGAGAAGAATTTACCATTATGAAAGTTGTACTAACTAGTGGTGATATGCTTCTAGATTCCAATTCAACAGCTTGAATTATACATCAAATATCAAAGTTAAAAAATAATAATCAATAATTATTATATTATACAAAGTGTTGCATAAAGTGAGATTACCTCATTTCATTGCTTTTGTCTTTACCTTTGTCATTTGCCTTGCCATTCTTTTGAACGTTTGATTTGACTTTTTGATTTTTTAGAAGAATATTTTTTTACCTTCAGAGATTTTTTCAGATTGCTTTTTATTCTCAATGAATATAAATGTTATTTAATTACCACACATAAAGGGTCAATCAAGATAGTGTTTTGTCTCTGCTCACTTGTATTTAATTCCATATTTGATTCGTTAACTCTACCATCATATAGATTATCATTCTCAATCTTATAAAAAAATTTATCAAGTTATTCACATACTTGAGATTGATCTTTGATATAAAAATTTATAATGTCTTTCAGACCGTGTAGCTCATAAAGATAAAAAAATGCATCATAATATTGTTGAACCATATAGAGGAAGACTTCAAATTATTCACTTGTGCATTGTCATTTGAAATGTTAATAAAAAAAATTTTGGTTGCATACATAGTCCACTGATTCAACATATAACAGGGTGAAAGTGAGTAAATTTTATTTTTATAAATATGGTAAGCAAATGCCTACATAAGATTCTAATGAATTCAAACTCACGACAAGAAAAAGAAGCATTTTTCAATATAAGTTTCAATCTGACAGCGTATGCACGAGTTTGTTTTTGAAACAAGTGAAGTTTATAGATATCTATTCCATTCTGAATCTCAATCTTTTTTAAAATAAATTTCTGAGACATTCTTCTTGAATTTTTTGAAATATTTTTATGGTATATACCTTTGCAGCTTCATCCTCCATGGATATAAATTCTTCAATATGGCCTATAAATGTTGCCTTATATTTCTTTTCCCTTATTTTATCATACCTAATATCAATAACTTTATCATATTGTGTTATAAATACACTCACTGGTGTACTAGGTAAAGAAAATCCTTAAAAAGTTGTTCATACTTTCACATCTGAGTTGTTGACATTCCAACACAAAAAAAAATTTCTCACATATGCTGAAATTCATTTTTCACGAATTGCATATTCTTTCCAACCAACTGTTTTCTTTCAAATTGTAGGTTTTGATAATATCAGTCCATGCAATTTCAAATTCCTCAGGCATTGTTATACCATATAGACACTTGCTAAATTTTGTTTTGAAATCATCAAAGTCATGATAAACATGACTTAAATATTCAAAAAATTTCTTCTCAATATGCTAGATGCAAAAGTGGTGTGCACAACTTGGAACGACATTTGCAACTGCTCTTATTATTGCAACATCTTGATTCGTGATAATTGCTTTTATTATTGCAACATCTTGATTCGTGATAATTGTATGAGGCATAACACCAAACATTTCCTCTTGTCAGTGCAAAGTAACCACTCAAAAGTTTCTTGAGTTTCATTTCAAAGAAGAGCACAACCAAATAAAATGGATTGATAATGGTTATTAACTTCGGTAAATTGGACAAAAGGCATTTTATATCTATTTTTCAAGTATGTAGGATAAAAATGACAACACCGACATTTTTAGAAGCTATACTAGACATAGCATCCACCCCAAAATAATTAGCTCAATGACCTTATGCATCCATTCGTATTGCATAAACAAAAACTCGTGTTTTCAGATTGACGCTTTTGAAAATATTTCAACATCAATTGGACATCTCCTTTCTTAATATTTTTTTGCCTTTTCGTACTTAGATAATTTAAATTAGATTTTCTACACCCTCTGCCTGAGTAATTAATACTGATTCAATTTTATTAGGACCAATTTTATTAGGACGAACACCTGAATTATCTAATAGATCAATAAAATTGTTTTGAGCTTCTAACATTTTTCTTTTTGATTCAAGAAGTTTTGGCTATGCGGAGAAGCAAGTTCATGATTATGGGTTGAGATTGGCTTAGCAACAACCTACTTTTCCTCTACTGACATTGGTAAGCGACCCAAAGCGATGTTCAGGGTTCCAAACTCAACGATGGCAACTAAACACGAGGATTGTGCTCGTTCCGGACTTACCTCAACACCTTACGGCACGAGCTGACGACAGCCATGCACCACCTGTGTCCGCGTTCCCCAAGGCACCCCTCTCTTTCAAGAGGATTCACGGCATATATAAACACTTTGAACCCTTCTCTAGTTTCATCTCTTTGTACATTTTTCTCGGGGCTCTTTTTTGAGCGAAACCTTTTTTTTGAACAAATAAATTCTTGACCTACTATTGATTTTATATTTTCTTGATCTAGTGATTTGATATTTGCAAACACTAAATCACTACGAGTCAAGATAAAATTTAAATGCAATAACAAATGATTGAAACTCCATACCGATATTTAGATCTCTTGATTTTCATCACCAATTTGGGAATATCCTCCTGTGAAGATCTAATCTCTGCTACATTTTGCTGCAAACATGTAGTTAACACATTTTATATTAACAAGATAAAATATAGCTTGAATATTCAAATTATATTATTCAAGAGAAAAAAATCTTTATAAACAATTTTACGTTATAAAAATGTGAAATTAAAAAATAATGAGTAAATAATTACCATTGATGATAGTTTAAAATTTCTTCAAGTGAATGATGGTGATACGAAGAAATAGTAATACCAGTTGAAACAGATGAAGTATTTTTCTTAAGTAAAAAACACAGAATCCTAATATAATATATTTAGAATCTTATTTACCCACTAACACTATATTTAATATTTATTTTCAATAAAATAAAAAAACTTAAGTTAAATATTTATGTTCAATCCTAGTTAACACATTTTCACTAAATGATTGATGTTTGAAACTCGTAAAACATGTCACTTAAAACTATCATAATGTTTAACTATATATGTGATGACCATTGCAATGCCATTTTACATGCATTAAGTCTGATCCTAAGAATTTTAAGACTTAATTGATGTGTAATCTAAAGAAAGAAATGTGAGCTGTCAATGGACATATTTTCTGACTCTTTACATGCTATTGAGACCATCAACACAAATGTGTGAATTAAATCTAGTGCAAGAGAAGCAATCAAACTAGCTAGGTTGATGCACCTATATTAGCTTAAGAAGCAGAGGAAATTTCTACCTTAACCTTTTGTAGAGGTTAAGGTTTCAGATTTTGCAATTTTTGTGTTTATGCGAATGAAAATGCATGTGTGCAGTTGCATTTCCATAGGAAGCAGTAACGCCATTGATAATTAAAGAATTGGATATGGCACCTCGCTCCAAAGAAATATGAAGTCCGCCTTGTGACACACTGATGTTTACGTTTGAAAAACTAATTAGGTATTGTCTTAAAGCATCCTCTAGTCTTTCCATGTAATTTAATCAATTGTGGAAACTTTTGAAAAACCTAATGTTTTGTATAAATCAACAATGTACAAGAGTAATACATTTATATAACAACTTGACTATTCCAACTACCAAAGTTTCTACAACATTCTATAACTAACTAACAACTTGATCCTTATAGTTATTTACACGTGCTTAATAGTGGGTTGTTAATTTTTCATTTTCTGTGTTTGATCATGCTTAGTTGGGGGTTAGAAGTGC